TTGCCCCCTCCTTTTTTTTTTTTTTCTGTGATACATTGATTTGTAAATTCTTGCAAAAATCAAATTGGCAGATTTTAATGAAATTTTTCAAGACTTATTCACAATCTTGGTAAAAATACTTATTTTACCTGTTTCTTCCACTTAATTTTATGAAAGCTTGAAAAATTTAAGATTTTTAGTGGCTATTAGTTCAAAGCAGATTTTTGGCAAAAATCAGTCTTACTGAAAATTATTCTGAACTGGAAAATGGTTATTTAAAGTAGCTTTTTAATTATTTTTATGAATGATATATTAAAAACAATATTGTCTGAACAAAAAATTTGCTCTTCTACACAATTTAAATAAAACTTTAAATCTGCTTTAACTATTAACACGTTCAGTGATCAATAAATTGCTTAACACATTGGGAAAACAAAACCCATGGTTAGGAAAATACTGCTTGTATACATTTTGCTATATGTAATACTAGTTTCAAGTCGGATTAACTTTAAAATTGCTAATTTTCCTCAAATAACATTTCAGAAATAGATATCTTATTTTTGCAAGATTTTTAAAATGGAAAGTTAAGTCTTGTTTTACAAATGTCAAAAAAAATGGCTCATAAATTTCATTGAGGTGGGGTGCAAGTCTATTCCAATCACTATAATTTTGGTCTGAAATACCGAAGTATTTTGCTTACAGGTAAAGTAATTTTAATCCTTTTAGCTTTTCAACTTAAAACTAAATTGAAAGCTTTCCAGTTCTTAAAATTCATTTTGAACATATATATCTCCATATTTAATTCTATTACAAGAGGATTTTTTTCTCATATATATATATATATATATATATATATATATATATATATATATATATATATATATATATATATAGAGTTGATTTGTAATGTAATATTTATGACCAACATTTGCTGGCATAAATTTCCAAATTTCTATTCATACAATTTGCTGGGCACTTGCTCTCAAATCTGCAAAATCTTATAAAATGATCTCATCTCCATTAATTTCCAATATTTTCCTCAGCTTTCAAATTTAAAGAATTTTGTTGCTTTGCCTGAATATTTAACTTTTTTTTTTTTTTTCAACTTTCAGAAAAGCTGAAAAACCTACTGAAAATCTTGAGCCAGAAAAGAAGCCTGAAGAGGTATTTTTACTGGTTTTCCTTCATTTTGTCACTCTGAAGGGATACATGTTTACAATTATAAGTGGGTAAAAACAAACAATTTGCCAAGTGGGGGGAGGGCGTGCTGGGAATGGCTGGCTCAATCCAGCCTTTCAAACCAAGTGTCCTCAAAAATAACTTAATGCAGCAATTTGTAAATTTCTTTGAACAAACCAAAAACTTGTAATTGAGGTAAGCAGGGACATTACTTAAAAAAAAACAAAAAAAAACTTAATTCTCAAATATTGATAACTGCCATTTAAAATCTAACAAATCTTGCTATGTTATAACACTCATCCACACACAGAAATTTGATCATAAAAATAGTTCATGGAATTTAACTTGACAATATTAATGTAAATGTTGATCCTTCTAAAAGTCATCCTGAATCTGTTTTTATTTGTGGATTCATTCTACAGCCTTCCTCTGGTCTACACTTGGAAGTTTTTTTTGTTTTATGTTCAATAATACTATTTGAAAATAAAGTGATAAATACTGTAATGAAATTAATTTCTTACATACAACCTCTGAATATTGCATAATTCAGACACAAATGCACCATTTATGTAGGCGTTCCTTCAATGAGTTTTTTTTTTTTTTTTTTTTTTTTTTTTTCCCTCCCCTAATACTTTATTTAATTTAAATTTTTCAGGATATTGATTTTGATGCCTTTGATAAGGAACATGCTGATCAACCATTTTGGGAAGCAGAATATGCCAAAGACATCTTCAAATATTACAAAGAACAAGAAGTAAGCATTTGTTCTATTAAGACTTATTTTGCTTGGAGGAATCTTTTTTTTTTTTTTTTTTTTTTTTTTTTTTTTTTGAAAATTCTAAGTGAATTTGTGTATAGCTGGTGGTTATTTTAGAATTGTTTTGCAAACTTGTTCACTGCAACAGTGTTGATCTGAATTTCGATTCCATGAAGTCTTCACATTTTCTTGGAGAATAAAATAGATGCTAATTTGCATTACTTTCAGAAGAAAGTGTGGGAGGCATGTGGCTAATTAACTGACTTTTTTTTCTTTTCTCTCCCTAAGCTGTTTTAGTTGGGCTAAGAATTGTCATGTCTCTGAAACTGTTTTCAGCTACTGAATCTGGGTTCAGGCATGGTTTTAGGACTGCAGTATCATTTATGATCACCAGGCTTCATTGGTTTTTCCCTCACATTGTGCAAGTAACTGTAGTAGATACAATCTCTACCTAAACTTAGTACATCTCCTTCATTAATTGGAGATATGGCTAAAAATTGTACACTGGCATCTGACAATAATAGGAGGAAAAGCATTTGTTGTAAAGCCAGTGTTTTTAATACTTCCCCCAGTCTTGGCATAGCAAAAAAATGTATTCATTATTTTTAATGTCTCAGAAAGACCAAAGAGGGAAGTGGAACCAAATTTTAGAAAAGTTTATATCCATAAGGAAATGTGGCAGGTTTATATATATATATATATATATAAGGGGGTTTGTTCAGTAAGACTAATACAAAAGTTACTTGATAAAACCTATCTTAAAGCCAGTCCAAAAGCATCTTTGTTCAAAGGCAAAAAAATGCTTTCCTTTCTCCAAAGACTAAACATTTGTGAGTTTTTGCTTTCTCCAAAACTTTGCTGTGTCACCTAATTGTTTTTCACATTTGCATACTTGTTAATTTACACTACCATTAATTAAATGGCTTCTCTTTTTTTTTTTTTTTTTTTTTTTTCCCCAACTAGCTTTTTGATCAACATTTGTATGTCCAGGAATATAAGAAAACTCTGGTAGCCACAGATGATTTTATGATTGTGATGGTTCAAAAATTCCTTTTTGGCTGGAATCGCTTTCAGTCTCACTGTCCATGAGAAGTTCCTCTATCAACACAAGATCAATGTCTCACCCTATGGTTTGCCATTGTGATTTTTTTAAAACTCCATTCACTTTGGTTTACATGTTTGTCTTTAATGCCAAATGAAGTTTGAATGAGATGGAGTTTATTTTTCATTGTTTTGTGTACTGCATAGAAAGACAACAAAAAATGTTTGAATGGAAATAATGCTTTTCTAAGACAATGAGGGTGGGTTCTCTTTGTAAATAGTTTAGTTACATAATTGTGACCTGTGCCAAAGTGACATAACTAGTTTATTTCATATTGCCTTCCTACAGTTACAAAAGTCTTTACACATTGCTCTGACACACCATCCATATTTCCTATCAAATATGGTACTTCTTGCCAGGACCATAACCAGTTTTTTCTCTGGCTATTTGGCCTGCGCTTCACTTGGTAAATGCAGTGAAGAAAACAATGGTTCCTAAAAAAAAAAAAAAAAAAAAAAACCTTTTAGGGTGAGCTTATTTCTCATGTACATTATTAGAACTTTACATTTGTTTCCATTTTAGCTTATGTACTCATTGGTTTATCTCATGAGTGTCAGCTTGAATAGAATGTGCAGTGAGCTATATATTATACACTTGTTTATCAAAATGTGATGTAGGAGGGAGCATTAGGCTAATAAGGTCATTAAATAATTTCTTTGTAATAAAGTTTTTGTTTTTCCTCAACTGTGCAAACATTTTATTTTCTTTTTCCTATCCAGCCTCGTTTTGATGTCCCAGATTATATGAGCAATGTGCAGACGGATGTCACACCAGAAATGCGTGCTATTCTCATGGATTGGTTAGTGGAAGTCCAAACTAACTTTGAACTCCATCATGAAACCCTCTACCTGGCTGCCAAGTTGGTTGATATTTACCTTTCCAAAATTCGTATTAGAAGAACAATCCTACAACTTGTTGGCACAGCTGCTTTGTTTATTGCCTGCAAATATGATGTAAGTTTTATTATTTTATTATCTAGAGACTCTTAGCTGTGTTTATAGCTTTTGTAAAATAGCCATACATTGACTAAGGGAACCATATTTTGAAGTGCAAACTGGCAAGGGCCTATAAAGTACAGTTGGTTTTATTAGTGTAAAAACTGCAAAGTATAAGTTTTTGTCACCATTTTGTCTGAAAACCCCAACGAAACAAATCGGCTATTTGAATTTTCATAGATTGGTTTGCAAAATTAAACGAATGTCGTTTGTAAATCTCAACAAAAAAGTTAGCAATAACTTCAATGGTAGTAAATACCATGATCATTTCAACACTGAAAAGAAAATTCTACTGGGTCAGATTAAAGCCACTCTTATGTTGACATCTGGATTACTTTTTACTACCCATACATTTTTTTTTTTTTTTTTTTTTTTTTAGTAAATGCTGGTCTAATTAAATTGTATTAATTACATTTACTGGCCTGAATATTCAAAATCTCATAAAATAAAATAAAAAAAAAATGCTTCTGCCAACAGGATTCAAACCTGTATCCCATATGAAAACTGTCACTTGGCCTGACATGCAGTCAACCATTCAGCCACAGGGGGCTTCTGGTTTAGCAAAGATCAAGTTGCATCTTATAAAAAAACTCACATTTGATGGCATTTCTCAATTTATTTCTGCCTTGAAATGTAGTGGGACTTGCAAGAGGTACGTCTATAGTAATTACTGTGAAAATAAATGTAAAATCCTGTTTTGACATCAATCAATAAATTCAGCTCTCTTGTTCTGATTAACCTTGGGGGCTGACTCCACCATGCGAGCATCCTTGATCTGAAGATGTGCCATTTCATGGGATGTAGACTGTTTTGGAACAGTCTTGTAGTCTTCATTTCCTTACTAGTGACGGTTTGGTGTATCAATTATCCAAAATTTGTGCACTTAAAAATCTTAAATGCCTTTGGGGGCTCCATAGCTGGCCATTGCTTTACCAAATATCTGGCATTGGTCAGATGACCTCTGTGCATGTAAAATCACTCTGATCTCATATCTAACATCTTGGATTCTTGCTGGGTGCTCCACCATTGTGACCTTGTACCTCACTAAGCTGAAGTGAGTAAATAATTTTTTCTTTCCAGGAACGCATACTCCCACCCTGTGAAGACTTCTTGTATGTCTGTGATAATGCGTACTCGATGGAAAAACTGTTTGATATGGAAAGGAAATTGTTTGTTGCTGTTGGCTTCCATCTTGGTATTCCACTCTCTTACAGATTTTTACGCCGCTACTGCAAAGTGAGTTACTTTTTTCTTTTTATCTCTCCCTGCTCTCCACTTGTTTGTCCTGTTTACTGTAATGATTTTGGTATCTGTAAACAAAATTGCATGAATCTATTCATCCATCCCTTTAGTATAACTTTATAATATTATAATATAAATAATATAATATAGTATATTATATTTATAATAGCTGGGCATACCATTAAAAATACCTGTTGAAAATCTTGTAATTGTTTCAAATCTGTCCTCTTTCTATGGAAAGAGGTCTGTAATCTGACCATATATGCTTTCGGTATCCTCCCTTTGAAAAGAAACATTTAAAACTGTAGAAGCTCCACATCAGAGGTAGATATAAGCAAGATCATGCAAATTGTTTCTTGCAAAATCTGCAGCACAAAACTTTGCAAACCAATTTTAACGATTTTTGCATTTCAATCTTAATTTTTTTTTTTTTTTTTTTTTTTTCCTCGTGTATTTTGTCCCTTTTCTGCATAGATTAACTTCTTAGCCAAACGTTGCATTTGATTTCCATGTGAATCACCTAAGCTAGATCTTAAGAGTTCTCGGTCTGAAAAGTTATGAGGGAATAATTTCCAAAAGCTGAACTTAAATTTAATCAGCTTTAAAAAAAGTTAATTTTAAGAATATTTTCTGTCTGAAAATGGTCAAGGAATAATTCTCTGAACTATATATATATATATATATATATATATATATATATATATATATATATATATATTCAACCCAACTGCTTAAGGTGATAATTGGATTTTTAACTCTTTCTTGCAGGTTGCAGGCATAAGCACAAAAACAATGACTCTTGCCAGATATATTCTAGAGTTAACACTCTTGGAATATCCATTCTGCTACCAACGAGAATCTCTCAAGGCTGCTGGGTGTCTTTGGCTTGCATTGAAAATGGAAAATATGGAATGGGTAAGTTTTTGTCATTGCGTGTAAAGTATTTTCTTTCAAAGAATCTAATCTGGGCTAGGTTACCCCCACCTCTCTCTTGCTTTGAGACTTTGTAGAAAAATTTTGTAAAATAGACAAGGCAATCAAATACCATCATCAGCTAAGCATGATGGAAATATACAAAAAATGCACAATTTATTTATAACTTGATAATTCAATGCTTTCATCCATCACTGACAGAAATGTTTTAACTATTTTTATACTCTTCTAATCTCCTATTCTGTCAGTACTGATTTCCTGAGCACTAACAATACCCTTGACTCTTACTGGATTTCTATACTAAAATCAGAATTCAAACTTCAGTTTAATAGGGTTGTTTGTTGTTGTTTTTTTTTTTTTTTTTTTTTTTTTCCTGGATCCCAATGCTACTGCGTAGATGGTATTAATGAAAAAATAACAGCTGGGGGTCATGGCAGCTTGGATTCCAAGAAGCAGTATGTCACTTGTTGGCTTAGTATCCCTCCATTATGTGTTCTCTCAAAACTGGGTGTGTGAAGTGTATCGGCATTCTATCAGTGTCGGAATACCATGTCCTGGTTTTCATATTCTGTAAGACATTAAATGATAGCATTTTATTTTTCAATTTCAACATTATCATAAAAACACTGCCAGGTGTTGACTTTGAAAAGCGTTAACTGTAATGCCTCAATGTTGCACAACTATATTGAGTTATTAAATCACTAATATTTGACAATGGTTGCATAGTGGTTAGAACATTTTCTTTCCAACTATCAGACACTGAGGTACGGATCTCACCAGGATGGCCCTACCTATTGACACCTTTTAGGAAAATATCGGAAAAACTATACCACAGGTTGACCTATTCCTTGTGGCGAGTGGAATTGGGTAGATGGAATTGTTCAAAAGCACTCAATTATTGTACTACTATTAAGTTAGTCAGTATGACTGCTGTTTTGAGTCGATTGGCTTTGTAGAAATTGCTGATCCTGCCAGATGATGCACTCTCTTCCACAAACTAATTATGGTCTGCTCACCACAGGTGGGCTCTGTGGATGTTAAATACAAATGTGCCTGAGCAGGTGTCTGCAACAGATTTGTTTAGCTGCCCTAACAGACTGGTGTGCTCTAGTAGCTGACCATGTACACAACCTACTCGCTACTTTTATTTTTACTGCTTCAAGGTGTGAATTATATGTATGTGTTTTTTAGGTGGGGGCTGACACTGATTTGTGACAGTTGGTAATATTCCTACTCTCAGCAAATATGGTTTAATGGATAGAAACTTAGTTTGGCTCAAACCCATAAGTGTGGGCATGCTGCAGTAATCGTCATTTGCTAAATTAGTTTACTCTTCCTTACCTGCCCAGCAAAGTGTTTGGGTTAGTTTAAAACGGGGTTCCAGCACAATCGTCACTGGTCAGCCAGTTTTATTTATCTGTTGCTCTACAGCAGGTACTCGTTTTAGAGTCCATGTTAGATCACTGAATGGTAACCAGTTTGACTACTACTGATACATCTCCTGCCATTTCTGTTTGGCTGAAGGCATAAATGGTTGTCAGTTGACTGACATCATGAAGAGTAGAGTTTTGTTTTGTTTTTTTTCTCTCTCTCTCTCTCTCCAGTGACAATAACTAAAAATGCAATATTAATAAATAAAATGGATGGGTAATGCAAATCAATTTGGCAAGAGTATCCACTTGAACACTAGTCTGTTCTTTCATTAATGCGTTTTTTTGTTTTTTTTTTTTTTTTCATTCTCTCCAGAATGCAATGCTTACCCACCATTCTGGCTACACAAACGAAGAGGCAAAAGAAATGGCCAAAAAACTCAACCAAATGTTATTGACACCACACTTTAATCCGGCCAACGAAATCTACAACAAATATTCACACGAGTAAGTATTGCTATTTAATCAATCTCTATCTCTCTAGCACTCACTCACATGCGTAACTGTGATAAATACAGATCAACTTTAAATGTCTTAGATGTAATTTATGGAAAATAAATTTGGCTAATCCCTGGGGTCTCTTAAGCTTTTTTTTTTCTCCCTCTCCCCATGTCCCTCCTTCAGCCCACCCCCATTGGCCATGGCATTACAGTGGCTGTTATATCTCATGTTGTAATCTCCATTTCTTACCTAAGATTAATGTCTTCATTTCAGTTGTCTTGGATGGACAATTCTTGAAAAATAAAACAAATGATGTAAATTTTAATTTTATTCTCTGAATTTCCTTTTTTTTCAGAGTGTTCCTATCTGTAGCGCACATCCCCAAGTTATCAATGGACCAATTGGAAGGATGAGCTTCTGCATTTCCCCCCTCCCTTCGTCTTTGTATTGACAGTGTATATATTTTTCTATTCTCTCAAATAAATCACATTCTTCAGCACACAAAGCTGACAACGAAAAAGGACTTTGAAGGCTTTGTAAACTACAAGGTCACTCATTTTTCTCTTCTATTGCTGTCTTCATACCCCCCCCCCCTCAAGTTTAGATTTTTGGGAGTTTGGAGGAATCGCATGAATGGCCTCTTGTGTCTTGTGACTCTGACTTTGAATATGACTGATTTGAACAACCGTTTTTATATTCCTCCTAACTCTTGAGCGATGTTTATTTGTACAGAACATTTTTATGTGAGGCACCCACTTGAAACATTTTAGAAAAAAAAAAATTAGTATATTTGTACTATGTTTTATACATTTTGGAAGAAAAACTAAGAAAAATAAAAATATTAATATTTTTTCGTTTTTGGATGTTTGTTACTTAACAAACGACTTATTTTTTTTTTTTTTTTTTTCCTTTTTTGTTTACTGCGAAAAAAAAAAAAAAAAAAAAAATTTTATTCTTAGACACATTTTTTGTTTGTGAATGAGTTTCGCTAATTACATTTAATTTAGAAAAATAGTTATTAAAATTATTCCTTCCCTTAATGTTTCTTTAATTTTATTTACCTCTTGAAACACCAATAGTTAGCCAATAAATGATTTAACAATTTAATAGCTTTTAGAATTGTGTAAGCCTCGCATCCTTTCTTCGTAATATGAAAATTATTTTAATCCCTTAAATATTCATCAGTGCAAAATTTGACTTCTTAAAACCGTTTAGAGCAAATTTAAATGTATCCATCAAATTTTCCCCCCCTCAATTTGAAATAATTTATTCCTATTTGTCATTTGTTGATGTCATCACTCACTTTTATAATAAATGTTTTAAAAACAAATGGTTTGGCTTTTTATTTGATCACAATTACTAAACTGGCATTTGTTCCTTCCAAGTCTCCTATTTGGAAGAAATAGGAAGATAAAACAGAAACATGGGAAGAATCTTATCAGATGTGATAGGTCCTCTTCTGCCATCTCATCTAGTCACTTTCTCATAGACTCTTTGCAAATATTTTCATGGCAACTGCTCTGATGAGGTACTTTCACTGGTTCCCCAACTGCATGAATTTAAGCCTGCTCCTAGGTTGGCATCTTGGTCCCATCCTTTCACTGTCAAAACAGTTAACCACCTCTTCTGCTCCAACAGCTTCTCTTGCGTTTCCTGACAGTTGAATTCCCTTCCTCTTTCTTCCCTGTTGGCTATAATCTTCAAAAGCTTATATGAAATGTCAATTGACCTCTTCTGATGCCTTGGCAGCCCCCCCTCCTCCTTTATATCCTTTACTCAAACACTTCTCTTTACTATTGCTTTCACTCTTTTGTAACCTGTTGCTTGCTTGGAGTGAATAGCTTAAAAAGAAAATGTATCTTAATTGTCTGGTTTATAATCATGAACTTCACCAAACCATTAAATTGAATCTCGACTTTACCAAATGTTTCACTTTACCAAAAAGTGAACATTAAGTCCTTTTAATTTGTCTGAATCATCAGTCAAGTGCCATACATGATACATACTGGGGACAATCATGTTTCTTTTGATTGATGACTAGGCAGATTTTTCTGTACTAGGTTTCAGTTTCTTTATGAAGTGGACTGGTTAGCAACTAAGGTTATAGTGAGGGTGATATGGGGTTTCATGCCTTTCCTAAGGGTATTTGTGCACAAGTGAATGCAACAAACTCAACTTCTCACTCTGATACAATGTCTGTTACATTACAATGCACATCTGAATCTTACTTTTCTTAAAAGCACATCTGTTAATTTGATTGCTTCTGATAATGAATGACAACAAATTGGTTTATGAGTATGATGTTAAAATCAGTTGAAGCCAGTGTTATATTCTTCTGTATTGTTACACTAATTTCCACCACTGGCTGGATGTGAACACCTCAAACAGAAATAAATCTGTCAACTGTGCAAGGCTCTACACACATTTTCCATTTACTCATACACAATACAATCCAATATTTCCACCTAAAGGAATAAAAACTGAGCTAATTTGAGTCTTGATTGAGATATATATAAATTTTTTTTTTTTTTTTTTTTTTTTGTGTGTGAAATTTGGCAGTTGGACTCCATCTTAACCCGAGATCACACACTGTAAAAGCTTTTTTATATATTTTATATATATATATATATATATATATATTCAGCAACGTAAAACATTCATATCATATAACGCTAGGAAAATAATTGATTCCTTTATTGGTTTGGGTCACCTCACTTGGCTCTGACACATGCCTGTTACGTGGTGTAGTTCTATGAAAAGAAATTCCTTTCCTCCTTCTCCAGGACGAAGGTCTCCACACAACAGAGGAAGTGAAGTACCTTTCCCTGAGAGACGCACAGAAATAGCTCCTTTCCTTTTTTTTTTTTTTTTTTTTTCCAACTGCATGCACATTAATGCAATTTCTCTCTTCCTAAAACATGTTTTTCTTCTTGCATGAGCCCACTGACTATTGTTTACAGGGACAAATGTAACAGGAGCAATTAAACAATTACTCCGCCACTCCAACATTGGGCAACAAAAAAAAATATAAATAAGCATAGTTCTATTGCGATTGACCCTGCTTTTTGTTAAATTCTGAAATGAAACCACTTTTAAAACCAAAATACTCCTAGGTGAAATAAAAAAACAAAAAAAAAAACAAATGTGATTAAAATTTGATAATTAATTGCATTTAAATTTTTAAAGATTGTAGGTGACATGGAAACAAAAATCCAAAAAGAGTTCCCAAGTTGAAACTATTAGCACAGAACTTAAGGTCACATCAAACAATTTTGAAATTATGAGGCCTAACTCTAAAATAATTGCCATGTAAAAGAAAAGCTAACTTACGGGCGATGGGAAGGTACTGATGCGAAGTAAGGATGAATATCATTGCACATTTATCTTTGGATCTTGTCGAAAATCTCTAGAATCGTTGTTTAGCACAACACAATGAACCATTTTTCTTAGCTGCACGACTAGCAACTGATTCAATATAATCGTTCCACTTCGTCAGTGCGAAATGGAAAATGCGGAGTTAGTTACTCTATTGGAATAGTGACGTGTGATTCTATTGAAAGGTGCTAGTAAATTTTTTTTGGGGGGGGGACTAGAAGACAGAAAGACAGTAATTTTCGATAGACTGATGAACAGACAAGAGAAAATAGAAAAGAAGGTAATTAACTTTTTCATCTGCATGTTAAACAAAGGGACCTGGTTTTGGTTAGGACTGAGATTAAGTGATGGCATATTCTTGGATGTCCAAGGCCCTACCGGAAAGAAAGATAATATTTTCGTGACTGAGAGGAAAACAGATTGCAAATTCAGGCGATTGATAAGGATTAACTTTTAAAAGCGGACAGGTTTCCAAAAGAATGGTAATTAAATTTTTTGTCTGCCGAAATGCGATAAAACTTCCCAAATCAAGGGATTGTTCCCTTTTTGTCACTTGGTAGCCAAAGGGTTGACGAGGGGATAAAAAATGATAAATCCCAGATGTGAAATGACTTCACATGATAAAGAATTTTGAATGATAAGTAAAATTTGGCTGTTTGGGCTACACCACACTTAGCCCTTGGAAGACGAGTTTGACCAGGTGACCAAAGAGGAAATGGCCCAGGTGGAATTTCAGGGAAGGGAGAGAACTTTCCACGCCCCTCGAGCAATGATGGTGAGAGACACTCACACAAAGTAGGAAGAAAACGGGTTTGATCAGGTGACCGAAAAAAGGAGATGCTGATGCTCTCCTCCAAGAAAGTGACTCATTGTGGCTTCTCAGGCCAACGTTCTCAGCTGGCATGAGGTGGAAAGACTGCATTGAATCCATCGCTAGGTCAGCTGCTAAGACAGTCGGTTCAGTGTGTTGGACGAGACAATTTTTCTCTCTGGAATCTTTATCTTGCATATCTATAAATCTACCAATCGCCTATGTTTAGAATATTGCTGCCATATATGGTCCGGTGCCCCTGCTATTTTCCTGCAGCTCCTTGAGAAGATCCAAAGAAGAATCAGCAATATTATTGGTCCTGATCTGGCAGTTTGGCTTAAGTCACTTCCCCACCGCCATAGGTTGCCTCTCTCTACCTTTTTTATAAACACTTTCATGGTCATTTTTCATATGAGCTCTTTGCTATGGTACCTAGACCGTATGAATTTGAACGCAATACTAGACTGATGGCGAGATATCAATTTACAGTTGATATAGCCATAACCTCTATGTTATGCTAACAATTTCTTATCTCACACTTCTCACTTGTGGAACTCCCTCCCGGCTCCATGCTTTCCAACCAACTTTAATCAGCAAAAATTTATATGAAATATCAATCGCTATCTACTGTCTTTCTGATTTCTCTTTTCTCTTTCTCCTCATTGTTTCTGTTTCTAATTCTTCCGCACCCTATAACCCCTTGCATGCTAGTGGCTCTACATATTCAAAGAGGACCCACAAAAACACCCATGATATAAACATTCCATAAAGTCCAAATATCTATTTCCACCACCCCACTTTTTTCTTAGAAGACTACCTAAAAAAATATATGATCATGAAATGAGGGGGAGGGGATGAAGCCCCAAAAGCAAAACTATAATATCACAAGACATTCAAATTAAAAATAACATGTCAGTAGGACCCGTCGACCCCACAAAAATAGGAGCGGCCGCTGTATTCTGCCTATAAGCAGAATCAAGAACCTCGCTCACAGATGGTACAATCCTTATTGGAATGGTGATTTTTTTCAAGTGTAGTTCAGATGTGGCACAAGGCCAAAAGTTTGAGGGCACCCAGTGAGGATCGAACTCACTTTTCAGTTATAACTGATATAACGAGACAAGCTTGCTAACCATTACACTACATTGAAATGCTTTATTGGAATAATATTTATTCGTACAATAGTACAAAATGTGGCACAGGGCCGTAAAGGGGGTTGAGGGAAAG